CGAGGTTAAGTAACTTGCTCCAGGCCTTTGAGAGCAGCCAAGTTTCCAACCCAGCTTAACCACCGGCCTCAGGCACCCGGCCAAGCCCGAGGCTGAGCGCGTTCATGTGCGCGCCCTCGCTGCAGCGCGCGAAGCCCTGACAACAGGGACGCCGGTCCCCAGAAGAGTCCCCTTCTCCAGCCAGGCAGACGAGGCCTGGCGCGGTTCCGCGCTTGGAGCCACCCCCGCGGCCGCGGACACGGGGCCCAGGGCGGGGGGAGGCGGGCCGGGTGGTGCAGACCTGCAGGCGGGTGGCGGTGAGCGGCTCCATGACGCGCCGCAAGTCCAGGCTGAGCTGCCGGACGCCGCGACCCGCGCGGCCCCGGGCGAACACGAACGAGTGCGGCTGCGCGGCGTAGGCCTCGAGGTTGCGGAGCTGCGCCTGGGCGCGCGCGCGCTTCTGGTGCCGGGACTGCGGGGGCGAGAGGCGGGCGGTGAGCGCCGCGGCCTCCGCCGGACCCCCGCCCGCGCTGCCCGCCTCCCCGGCCGCCGCGCCTCACCCTCCCCGACTGCCCCATGTCGCCGTCTTCTCCACGAGGCCGCCTCGACAGGCCACTTCCGGCGCCGCGCCGCTCACTTCCGGCGCAGGCAGGGTGAGTCTTCCAAGGGGCGCTGCGTGATGACGTCTCAGGCGAGCATGCGCACCAGGTGGCGAGCGGCTGGGGGCGGGAAATCAGCGGAAGGGTTGCTATGGAGACACCCGGTGCCTGTTTCTATGGAAACCGGGGCGGGGCCGCGCGGTACAGGGAGCCCGCGCGGGCTTCGGAGAAATGAACCGCGGGTTCGAATCCCGCCCTCGCCATTTCTACCAGCTGTGCCATTTTGAGAGCCATTTTCTCCATTCCGAGGCTCCTAAAGTGAGGATGATAATCGCTTCCCCCCCGACCCGCGAATTAAGAGAGATGATGCATGCACAGTGCTTGGCACCCTCGCACCAGGCTCTTAGGGAGCAACCAGAGAAGGGGGCAGCACGTGGCAGTTACCCATCTGGGCCTCCAGCTACTGAGGGCCAGCTGTCCTCCCCTAGGGCCCTGTCTGCGGACGGGCGGAGGGATGGAAACTCCACATCACCTTCTGGAAACTCAGGGCAAGGCGGGCGCTTTGTGCATAATTCACCCCCTCCTAGTTTCCGCTCAAAGCCCCAATCTTGGCCTCAGCCTCTGGCTTCTTTCCAGAACGTTGGGGTGGGGGGATGGGACGCCCCCCAACATCTCTCTCCCTGTCCCATCTGATACCTTCTGCCATCTGCCTCCCCTCCCCCATCTGTTTCCCTTCCCCTCCCCAATTCTTTCTCCTCCCCCCCCCCCAGTCTGTTCCGTCCCCCCCCCCGCAGCCCGCTGCATCCCCGTCTTCTCGGACTCTGCCTCCCTCTCCCCCAACTTTGTCTCTGCCATCAGTTGCCTCTTTCATCCCCTGTAAGTTTCCATCGTTCTCCTCTCTCTGTCTCTGTCTCTATCTCCATTTCTCTCTTCTTGTCTCTCTCCCTGGCTGCCCACGTCTCTCCCCATCTCCCCCACGTCTCTCTCCTTCTCTGTCTCTCCGACTCTCTCTCCCTTCTGTCAGCCCCTCTCTGTTGACTTAGGAGGTTTCTTCACTCTCTGCTGCCAATGGGGGAAGCTGGAGGGGGCTGCGGGTGGGGGGCCAAGGGGCCCAGTGTGGGGGGCCCCAGCCCAGGCCGGGAGCCCAGCCTGGCAGCCTTTCTCAGATCTGGGCCGACCATTTCCTCTCTCAGCCCGGGAGTCCACTCGGGTTACGGGTTCAGGACGGTAGGAACTGGGGGAAGGAGACTGCTCCCCCAGAGTGTGTCTGCTGGTCGAGGAGGCCTTCGGACAGGTCTCTGGGCTCCGGGGTCTACGTGAGTCGCTTTATAACTCCTCAAAACGACTGTATGGTTACTTCTGCCTGTTTTTGTCTCTGCGTGACTTGAGCTGTGTGAGGATGTGACAGTGTGGAGGGAGACAGATGGAAGCATGCACGCTGTGGCAGGCAGGCAGTGTCAGGGTCTTGTGGTGTCCCTGGTTTGTGTCTCTGTCTTGCCAGTGCGTGACCACGGCTACCTGGCTATGTATGCGTCTGACACACAGATACAGACACACTCAGACCGCAGGCTTATTTTCTTTTAAGTCGTGGCGTATGTGTGTGTGCGTGACCAGATTTTGCACACACAGTTCCTGCCCGAATCTGTGTTATTTCCAGTTGTGTCTTTAGACGTGCACGTGCCAGGCAAATCCTGGCAGATTCCATCTGTCTCGGCAGCTGTGTGCAGTGGTTTGCATGGCTCATCGGGTATCCGTCTGTGTGTCTTTGTGTCTGCACTGTTAGGCGCACACGGCGGGGTGTGACTGTTGTGCTGTATGTGTGTGAGTTCTGGAGCCAAGCTACCTGGGCTGAATTCCACTGCCGACCCTTTCTGGCTGTGTGACCACGGGCAAATCGCTCACCCTCTCTGAGGCTCAGTTTTCCCTGCTGTAAAATGAGGCTCCATCCAGAAGCCAGCTCAGGCTGCAAGGATTAAACAAGATAAAAGGTGTCGAGTTTACAGTCATATTTGACACACAGTAGGTGCGGCTGGTGTTTGCCATTATTCTCTGTCTGTTTGGGTCTCAGGCTGGGATCCCCCCCCCCCGGCCTCCTGGGGCCTGCAGCCTCCCACGCTCTGTGCTCCTCTGTGGGGGAACATCCGGGGCACTGACCTGCGTTATCAGGCTCTGCTGGCCTGGGCAAGGGGGTCTGGCAGTTCTGCCTCAGTTCTCATGCGGGAAATGCTAAATATTTACAATTGGGGATCCTGGGCTGAGCATCGAGGCTCTAGCCCCAGGCTCTGGGGGGCAGGGGTGGTTCCCACGCCTCCTCCCTTCTGCTCTCCCACCAACCAGCCTCTCCCCATCCCCAGCTCAGAGGCCCTGCTAGACCCTCGGCTCCTCCTCGGACTTCTTGTGCCTGCTCTGAGCCTCGCTGGACTCAGGAGCTTGGTCGTGAGAGGTGAGAGGGCAGGGGGCTGGGAGGGCAGGTGAAAGCTGATTCTGTCTGTTGGGAGACCCGGCCCCGACTTGGCTAGGGGGCTCCCCAGGCCTCCTCCTCACCCCAGGCTGAGATCGTGGAAGGCAGTGGGTGTTACGTGCCCCCTACCTCCAGGGTTTAGTCCATCCCTGTTGTGGGGGACCTGGTGTCTTCAGGAGTGGGCAAGGAGAGGACCCTGCTCTGCCCTTGGGTGTGCAAGTACAGTCACAAATATGCCTTTTTCCAGCTCCGAACCCTCCCTGCCTCCCACATGAGTAAAACCCTGATGCCCACAAGGCCCTGCATGCTTTGCCCCGTCCCCTCCCTGCCTCTCCTCCTTGTGCTGTCCCCCTCGCCCACTCTGTTCCAGCCTCACACGCCTCCCTGCTGTTCCTTGGACATATCAAGCAAACTCTGACCTCAGGGCCTTTGCACTTGCTATTCCCTCTGCCTGAAATGCTCTTCCCCTTCTCTCTCTTCCTTCAGGTCTTCACTCAAGTGTCATCTTCTCAGTGAGGCCTAACTCATCTATTTAAAATGCGTCCACAACCCCCAGCCCAGGACTCCCGTCTCCTTCCCTGCTTGAATTTTCTCCTAAGCACTGACCTACTCACTGTGTTTTCCAAACTAGGATGTCAGCTCCATGAGGGCAGGGATTCTGTCTGTGTTGGTCACGGCTGTGTCCCCATCGCCTGGAACAGCTCCTAGCACACCATAGGGGCTCAAGGAGTGTTTGTTGCATGTGTGAATGAGGCCGTGTGTGTGACGATGAAGACCACAGGACACGAGCCTGTGTGGGTTTGGACATCGTGGAACTTGGTGTAGACAGGGTGACGTGTGGACCCGTGAATCGTGTTCTGAGTGTCGGCAAGTGCACTCAGGAGGCATGTGTGTCCCCGTCTGAGAGGCTGTGAGTGTGTGAACCACAGGAAGGAAAGCAGTGGGGGCCTGTGTGTGGACTCTGCAGGGCCGGGGCAAGGGGACCACAAATACACACCCTCGGGCGAAGACCCTTGTTGGAGCTCACCTGTGGGAGCCAGGGAACAGCCGGGGGGCATGCAGACCTGGGCCATGTGGGTGTTGTGGGTGTGTGTGTGTGGCCCCAGCACTGTTTCAGGCGCTGGGGACAAAGCAGTTAAAAAACCCAGACTCAGCCTCTGGGAGCTGATATTTCGCTGGAGGAATTCAGATCATAAACAATGGCAAATAAACGAGGCGACTTCAGAGCAATCAATGCTAAAATGGAAAAGACACACTGGACACGGGGTGCCTGGGAGGGGTGGCTCTAAGTGGGGTAGTCAGGGAGGGCATCTGAGGAGACAGCTCACCTGAGACCTGAATAAGCAGAGAGAGAAAGGGAGCCATGTTAAAATTTAGCGAGGAATGTTCCAGGCTGAGGAAACAGCTCGTGCAAAGGCCCTGAGGCTAGAAGATCCCTGCATAGCAAGGAGCCCAGTGTGCAGAGTGAGGAAAGAGGTGAGGGCAGGGAGGGGACAAGGCAGAGCATGCAGGGCCATGGGGGCTGCGGGGAGGCCTTGATCTTTTCCTCTGAGTGACTGGGAGCCATGGAGGTTCCGAGCAGGGGAGGGACGTGACCTACTTGGGTGTTCACAGGCATCCTCGCCCACCAGGGCACGGATTTTTGTGTTTTGTTCCCGACTGTATCCCCAGCGCCTAGAACTGAGGCCGGCACACAGTAAGCACTCAATGCATGCTTGTTGCAAGAACGCACGAGACATGCAGTCCCGCAGGGCGCCTGGAACTCAGTGGAACGGCCAGGGTGGGATCCCACTGGGGTGTCTCCAGCCTCGGGGGGTGGGGAAGGGATGGAGGCGAGCGTGTGTAGGCCTGGAGCCCCGCAGGTGTAGACACGCGCCTTCGCGCGGGAGCAGCTGGGTTGGGCGGGGTCTGGCTTCCCGGGTCCCCGCGCCTTCCCGTTCGCCCTCTGCTGCAGGTCCAGCATGTGGGCGCCGCGGCTGCGCGCGCTGCAGCTGCTGCTGCTGCTGCTGGGCGCGTGGTGGGCGCGCGCGGGCGCGCCGCGCTGCACCTACACCTTCGTGCTGCCGCAGCAGAAGTTCACGGGCG